CTGTCCACCAAAAAGTGACAGTGACAAAGGTTTGGACAAACTATAAAAGTGTCAGGGGTGCATTAAACAGTTACCTTTTATTCATATGGTTTAAATCTTCTTAGTTGCTCCAAACTCTCGAACACACATGACAGTGTTACAAGTATTAACTGCATGCTGTTTTTTTATGATAGCGGTCCAAGGGAGGTTGGCTTTAAGCACTGCCACATAACACAAACAATTTTAATTTCTTTATTATAACGCTTTACATTTGAATTCTTTGTAGTGGTCTCAGAAATCAAAGCGAAACAAAAAGACTGATTTTATCATACACTTTACCACATCAGACACTTTAGGCAATACAATATACAATTCTAAATTTGACTGTACTGATAAATTATCTAGCAATGTAAAGCATTGTTGTAAGCATATAAAATGTAAGCATATATTTGAAAAACAAAAAAACAAAAAACATCCCACATATCTGAAAAAGATAAAACAATAAATAAAAATAATAAGCGAAAACATAGTATAGCTCAGGTAAACTGTGACACTACCCAATCTAATAGGCTTCCCTTCATTAACATACAGCCATGAGTCAGGTCAAAGACTCTCTCCAGTCTGATTAATGATGGCAAAGTGATGTCAAATGGAGCCTGTGAAATGAAGGAAATTATAGCTGTGAGAGAATCATTTTTCTTGTCATAGGCAAGCATCACATCCATTTTCTCACTTAAGAAGATTAATATCGTAAAGCAAAATTGCGATGCAATACCCAACAAATGGAGAGGAGTATAGAGAGAGAGAAACTAAGTAACTTTACGATAAACAGTGAATAATTAAATTATAGAAAGTGTATCATTTAAAATTATGCATGGTTTGTTTCGTAGTATTAATGATATGCAGATTTTTAGGATAGAAAATATAAATTGAGTCTTACCTGAGTTAGTGATGGTGGATCGGTAGTAGAAGACAGCAAACACTGAGCTTCATTACAGCATTTCAAGATCACTGTCTGTAAACAGAAAAAGGAAATTCGACTGCTTTATGCTGTGGGGATGCCCAAAACTGCTGAACTGAATGTACAAACTGCTAAAAAAAAACTAGTTGCATTTGCTTTTTGGGGTGATTTTATATGTCTATACAGAGCGTAATACAGAGCTTAGTACTCAAAACCCCACATATCAGATTATCTTAGCCATCTTCAGAGGCAGACTTACACAGTAGGTTGACAGAGACTGGGTTACACCAGAGATGGTACCACTGCTCTGAAAGTGGAGAGTGAGCTACTACTAGTTGGCAGAGTACATAAAGGTCTGGAAAGCACCACAGGAAAAACAGAGTTTACTCAAAAATACATTTTGATTGGCAATCTAGTCCTGCACTTTTTAGTGTGCCATGCTGAATAAGCCTGAGTGTATTCCTTCCTTCTCAATGCATGTGTCTCACCACAGTTCTAAAAATAACATAAATAAACGAAGCAGACAACAAAATGGTTCAAGGGAAACTAAAATGACAAAACCCTATTAGGTGTAATGTGTAGTTGCTGCTGATCCATAATCCAGCTTTACTAAGCCGCTTCATTGTCCCCTCCGTTGGTTTCAAGCATAGGAAACCAATTTGTTTACTAAATTCCCTACTGATTCAAAAGGAGAAATGTATTGAACAGTACTCATGATCTCTTGGTCTGCATATTTTCAAAGGCAGAAATTATGGCCAAGAGACAGTGCTGTGGGTTAGTCTCTTTGCAAGAAAATCCCACTTAGAGTAGCATTTGGATAAACCAGCCCAATGTCACACCGATATAACAGAGGACTTCAGAATACCACAACAAATTACACAGTGTTTGTCAAGCTTAATAAGCAGTAAATAAATCTGATTTAAAAATATCAGATGAGTAGAAATATGAAAATTGTATCTCTTTACATAGCATTTAAACTGGAAGATTGATAAACAGAACCTAGTTCTGCCAACACTCTGATATGAGAGTTATTACTAACATGCAGCTGTTATACATGCTTATCTCTTGTTTACATCTCTCCAGCATATATTATCCAGCTGCATAACAACAAAATACAAGCACATGCAATGCATCACTTTTTTTTCATCGACTGGTGGCTAGGAAGGGAAGGGAAGATGTGGAAGCACTAAAGTAAAACATTTGCAATTCATATTTACTTTTTTTTTTGTTCTGACCACTTTGCAGGCTCTTGATTTGTACACCACTGGCAGTTCTGCATATATAGTGTGTGTGTTTGTGTGTGTTTGTGTGTGTTTGTGTGTTTGTGTGTGTTTGTTTGTGTGTGTGTGTTTGTGTGTGTGTGTGTTTGTGTGTGTGTTTGTGTTCGTCTGTGTGTGTCTGTGTGTGTGTGTGTATGTGTGTGTGTGTGTGATGTGTGTGTGTGTGTGTGTTTGTGTTCGTCTGTGTGTGTCTGTGTGTGTGTGTGTATGTGTGTGTGTGTGTGTGTGTGTGTGTGTTCGCGCGTGTGTTCGTGCGCGTGTGTGTTCGTGTGTGTGTGTGTGTGTGTGTGTGTTCGCGCGCGTGTGTGTGTTCGTGTGTTCGCGCGTGCGTGTGTGTGTGTGTGTGAGGATAGGCTCACAAAGTCCTGGTTAAGGTGAAAGGCTGAAACCACCCTGGAAAGGAAGGGGGCTTTAGGCCTTCATAAAAACGTATCATTGTGTAAGACCACAAGGGGTTCTTTACAGGACAAAGCTGCCAGCTCAGGCATGTCTTAAAGAGGTGATGGCCAATTGTTGATCCAGACTTGGTTGTAAGAAGGCCAGCATTCGTCGCATGGAGAATTTTCTGGGGTGAAAGTTACTTTTCTTGCAACCAGCAAAGTCTGCCTCCAATATGTGGTGGTAAATCATTCAGGAAGTTAACTTTCTGGGCTTCAACAGCCTTGTCAGCAAATCAGCCTTTCAGAAGGTCTGGTCAACCTGGAAGAGCCCATGGACCATCTGCCAGAAGTCTGGTAATGCCAGAGTACCACATCAACCTGGGCCAGTACGAAGCTATGAATTTCACTGCAATGCCCTCCATCTTGATTCTGCTGAGCAGGTGAGGTAGGAGTTTCAGGGGAAGAAAGGTAGGTTGTACTAATTCCATGAAGCATTTACTTCTTCCACCAGAGGATCCATGTATCTGTAAAAATAAACCTTTCTGTTTTTTTGTTGAATCTGATGGCCAGAAGGTCCACATAGAGTGTCCCCCTCGCGTCCAGGCATTGCTGACTGAGGTAGTCTGCCTGCTAATTGTCCACACATTGGATATGAATGGCAGTCAAGACTGGAACATTAAGTTCTATGTAGAACAAAATCCTTTTTAATTTACTTTCCATTGATGGTTGATATATGCCACTGCCATAGCATTGTCTGGCTGGCTCCTAATTGGACCCTCCACTAGAGATTTAGTGTTGTAGAAAAAAAAATTTGTTCAAAGCTCCAGAATGTTGATTGGGAGTCAAGATTCCTCCAGAGTGTCTAGGACCTCTCCCCAAACCGTCAAACTGGCATCCATTGTGATGATCTTCCAAGAGATCATAAGAAAGGATTTCCCAAACTCCAGAGCTAGATTTCAGAGCCACCAGGCCAGAGACTAACTGGTATTTGGTATCAGACAAATTGGTTTGTCCAGAGACTTATCCAATGTCCCTCCAAGAAAGGATAAAAATATGTTGAGTTGTAGAACACAGGGTAAAAGGGAATGCCTAAATGTAGGCTACCATCAGCCCCAGAGACTATCAAGCAAAGAGTTGGCCAATTCAGAGTCTGGGAGCAGAGATTTCTAATCTCTGGCTTAATGCCCTGGGAGCTTACCAAGGCAAGCGCAGAGACTAGAACCTTAGTAAATACATGGTAGAGATGCACCGACACTGGTTTTTCGGTATCAAGTACGAGAACCGATATTTTTTTAATTGATATTCGCCGATATTGGGGGTCCAACGTTTGTAGTGAAAACGGGCATCTGGTTTAGAGGGTATAGCCTGGGAGTAATGAAAGGAACTCTTTTCTGCCTCAGAGGAGGGGTAATTCTGCTCAGCTTGAGTCTTAGGCCTCTTTTGCTGGGGTAGATGAGTACTCTTACCCCCAGTATCATTCTTGATGAGCATGTCCAATACAGCTCCAAAAAGACATTCAGCTTTGAAGGGCATGCACAGCAATCACTTTTTTTATATGCCTGCTTCCTAGACCAACATCCCAACCAAAGAGTTCTCCACATATTCACTGAATAGGAGACTCATGCAGAAAAAGGACAGCAGACATCCACTAACCCATCTACACAGTAGTGCAGGGCTGTTGGCATGAACTGTACACATTCCACAAATAAAGGATTAGTGTGAAGTAAAGCTAGATCTTTTGCCATGAGTTTGGCCTGAGCTTTATTAAGACAGGGCACTGCCAGATCAACTTTCTATTTACATGGAAGGTCCACTATTGTGCAAAATATTGAATTCTGATAACGTTACCAGGTTAATACAAGTACTTTAAAATACTGATTTCTTGTTTATTCGCCAGGTTTTAACATATATTTTTGTTTCTACCTTTACATGTAGTTCATGCTGTCCACCAAAAAGTGACAGTGACAAAGGTTTGGACAAACTATAAAAGTGTCAGGGGTGCATTAAACAGTTACCTTTTATTCATATGGTTTAAATCTTCTTAGTTGCTCCAAACTCTCGAACACACATGACAGTGTTACAAGTATTAACTGCATGCTGTTTTTTTATGATAGCGGTCCAAGGGAGGTTGGCTTTAAGCACTGCCACATAACACAAACAATTTTAATTTCTTTATTATAACGCTTTACATTTGAATTCTTTGTAGTGGTCTCAGAAATCAAAGCGAAACAAAAAGACTGATTTTATCATACACTTTACCACATCAGACACTTTAGGCAATACAATATACAATTCTAAATTTGACTGTACTGATAAATTATCTAGCAATGTAAAGCATTGTTGTAAGCATATAAAATGTAAGCATATATTTGAAAAACAAAAAAACAAAAAACATCCCACATATCTGAAAAAGATAAAACAATAAATAAAAATAATAAGCGAAAACATAGTATAGCTCAGGTAAACTGTGACACTACCCAATCTAATAGGCTTCCCTTCATTAACATACAGCCATGAGTCAGGTCAAAGACTCTCTCCAGTCTGATTAATGATGGCAAAGTGATGTCAAATGGAGCCTGTGAAATGAAGGAAATTATAGCTGTGAGAGAATCATTTTTCTTGTCATAGGCAAGCATCACATCCATTTTCTCACTTAAGAAGATTAATATCGTAAAGCAAAATTGCGATGCAATACCCAACAAATGGAGAGGAGTATAGAGAGAGAGAAACTAAGTAACTTTACGATAAACAGTGAATAATTAAATTATAGAAAGTGTATCATTTAAAATTATGCATGGTTTGTTTCGTAGTATTAATGATATGCAGATTTTTAGGATAGAAAATATAAATTGAGTCTTACCTGAGTTAGTGATGGTGGATCGGTAGTAGAAGACAGCAAACACTGAGCTTCATTACAGCATTTCAAGATCACTGTCTGTAAACAGAAAAAGGAAATTCGACTGCTTTATGCTGTGGGGATGCCCAAAACTGCTGAACTGAATGTACAAACTGCTAAAAAAAAACTAGTTGCATTTGCTTTTTGGGGTGATTTTATATGTCTATACAGAGCGTAATACAGAGCTTAGTACTCAAAACCCCACATATCAGATTATCTTAGCCATCTTCAGAGGCAGACTTACACAGTAGGTTGACAGAGACTGGGTTACACCAGAGATGGTACCACTGCTCTGAAAGTGGAGAGTGAGCTACTACTAGTTGGCAGAGTACATAAAGGTCTGGAAAGCACCACAGGAAAAACAGAGTTTACTCAAAAATACATTTTGATTGGCAATCTAGTCCTGCACTTTTTAGTGTGCCATGCTGAATAAGCCTGAGTGTATTCCTTCCTTCTCAATGCATGTGTCTCACCACAGTTCTAAAAATAACATAAATAAACGAAGCAGACAACAAAATGGTTCAAGGGAAACTAAAATGACAAAACCCTATTAGGTGTAATGTGTAGTTGCTGCTGATCCATAATCCAGCTTTACTAAGCCGCTTCATTGTCCCCTCCGTTGGTTTCAAGCATAGGAAACCAATTTGTTTACTAAATTCCCTACTGATTCAAAAGGAGAAATGTATTGAACAGTACTCATGATCTCTTGGTCTGCATATTTTCAAAGGCAGAAATTATGGCCAAGAGACAGTGCTGTGGGTTAGTCTCTTTGCAAGAAAATCCCACTTAGAGTAGCATTTGGATAAACCAGCCCAATGTCACACCGATATAACAGAGGACTTCAGAATACCACAACAAATTACACAGTGTTTGTCAAGCTTAATAAGCAGTAAATAAATCTGATTTAAAAATATCAGATGAGTAGAAATATGAAAATTGTATCTCTTTACATAGCATTTAAACTGGAAGATTGATAAACAGAACCTAGTTCTGCCAACACTCTGATATGAGAGTTATTACTAACATGCAGCTGTTATACATGCTTATCTCTTGTTTACATCTCTCCAGCATATATTATCCAGCTGCATAACAACAAAATACAAGCACATGCAATGCATCACTTTTTTTTCATCGACTGGTGGCTAGGAAGGGAAGGGAAGATGTGGAAGCACTAAAGTAAAACATTTGCAATTCATATTTACTTTTTTTTTTGTTCTGACCACTTTGCAGGCTCTTGATTTGTACACCACTGGCAGTTCTGCATATATAGTGTGTGTGTTTGTGTGTGTTTGTGTGTGTTTGTGTGTTTGTGTGTGTTTGTTT